TCACCACTGAGGGATTGATTTTTCACATTCTCTCTCTCTCTGCCCCTCTCTCTCTCCAGCCAATGCATGCTCCCTATGGCAAAAATCTCACAAAGAAAAGGAAAGAAGAAAATACTGAAAGGTTCAAAGAAGATAAAAATTGTGTGTAATCCTTCCATTAAAGAATAGCCACTATTGGGGCCAGAAGGCAGTGTAGTGGTTAAGGTGCTGGAATTCCTACATGGCTAACCGTGGTTCGAGTCCTAGATCTGGAGACCTGCTTTCTCTCTCTCTCTCCCTTTCTCTCTGTCTTTCTCTGGCAAAACTCATGTGAAAAAATAATAATAAATAAATAAAATAGTTCTTAAAAAAGAATAGCCATTATTAATTTTTTATGTGTTTACTCAAATCTTAGGTCTGTAACCATCACCACTTGTAACATTTACTCATTTCATCATTTGCATATAAGATAACATAATCGGCTGCATTCTTCTCCTGTGGTTACTAATGTTTTTGCTCTCATAAATAGTGCTGCAATAAATGCCTTGGAATATACAAATCTTAGGTGAAGTTGCACTTATCTCCTTTAAAGAGATTCCTATGGGCACAAAAAAAAAAAATTAAGGCTTTTGATCAGGACTGCCTAATTCCTTTTGCAATTTGCAATCCCATTCAACATTCTATGAAAGTGACTGTCTCACATTAACGGTCTTTTAGATCTGTGATCATTGTGAGTTTTTAAAAAGGCATCTTTTTAAATGTGCATTTTCCACTATTAGAAAAATTGAAATATTTAAGTATCTCTATTAAGTCTTTCTTTTTATTCTTTTACAGAGTACTTCCGTTGCTCTGTGCATTTTTGTGAAGTTGGACAGGAGATGTACATAATATATATGATAGGTATACACGTTTAGATGGAGATTGTCTATATTTTCAATCTATTGTTTAGAAACTAGTAATAGCTCGGTATACTTAAGCAAAAGCTGATATTCTAAATAATCATATTTTAGTCAGTGATTTGCCATTGAGCATTAATGTACTCTCTATCGTTAGACTGAAATACATGAATGACTCGGCTGTCAAGGGAAAGCAATTTATAAATGCCAAAAATTGTCATTATTATGTAAACAAATTAGATATATTTAAATATCAGAACAATCTCCTAACCAGGTACATTTCTTAAATTGGATGGGAAATGATTTCGAACTTTCTATTTATAGACCACAAAAGTATAAACTATATCACAAATAGACACAGTTTAAAGAGAAGAAAAGCCAAAATTATGAGGCATACTTTCTTTTCTTCGTTGCTAAAAAGAAGTCACTGCCTTTAACACAGCGATTCTGGATTCCTTCCTTATGCCAGAACTAAGCAATATTCACCCTGCACCCTGTTTATTTGATCCTACCTGCTTGGGGCAATTCATGTGAAAGCTATTAACAGGCCCCACCCTGGTGGTTCAAGCTGCTGGGACCACATGGGGGGCTCAGGCTCACTTCTTGGTGCAACCTCAAGGCCCAGTGCAGCGGCATCTGTAATCTCACGGACTCAGGGAAGCTGAGGCAGGAGGATCATGATCTCCACGTGGCCTGGACACCCTGGAGCTAGACCCTACCTAAAAAAGATTGCGGCACGGTGACACACACTTATAGTACCAGCTAGCAGGAAGATCGTGGCACAGCGAGACCCTGCCTTTAACAAAGAAAAGCTATTAACAAAAATAAACTGGCCATTCTTCCTCCCTCCCTTCAACAATACATGTATTGCTCTAGCCAGTGCCCATACAAACTGGCAGCCAACTACTAGGGCATTTTCTAGCCTCACCTCTACAACGATCTTTCCTATCCACCTATTTAAGCCCTGGGCTGTAAAAATACCAACTTTATAGTTCACCGATTTCCAGGAAGCCACAGTGCTTAGCCAGAAGTGTAAGAATAGTTCGAAGACATAGTTCTGAATTTAATATATCTAGTTCTGTCACGTATTAGCTTTTGACCCAAATAAATTAAGTACAAATCTTCTGAGCTTGAGTTTTCTTTTATCTTCCTTAAGGGACAATTGGGAAGATAAAATTAATAGAGGTGAGCCATATGGGAAAATGTGCCCAGTGCCTGACAATAGCAGACTTCCATACCAAGTGTTCTGCTTCCCAGCTGTTTTGCAAGCACCTTGAAAAGCAATAGATGCCACTAGGAGGCAGCAATAGCACACAAAGAATTCACACGCTCTCACATGCACTCGTCTGCACATGGGTGTATATTTATATGCACAAAGAATACACATTTTCAATGTCTGTGCGTCGGTGTGTACTTATACACGCAAAGAACACACATTCGGTGTCTATACGTGGGTGTATACTTACACACACAGAGTACACATTTGGTGTCTGCACGTGGGTATACACTTACATATGCAAAGAATCCACATTCAAACCACACACACACTCACATGCATGTGCATTTTATGCACACCACACGTACACATGCTCATACCCAAGGGACAAAGATGCTCACACCCAAGGGACAAAGATGCTCACATGCTTGCACCCAACCACATACGCTGTCTCACACACGCACACTCCAAGCTATTTTATTTCCTTTTCTTTCTTTCTTTTTCTTTTCAATCTTTTCTTTGGGAATTAAAGCAGGGATCGCCTTTCAGGCTGGTAGGTAGGAAATGTCACCTTGGAGTTTGGAGGCTCAGGAATGAGATTCCATTCTATCTCACAGTATGTATGGAAAGGTTAATCAGTGTCTTAAAAATGAGAGAATGTGTTTTCTATGCTATTGATTTCTTGCAGAAATACGTTTTAGCAAGAGAGAATAGTTAAAGCATGGAAAACTTTGCAGTTAGAAGCCAAACCTGCCGTAACCTAAGAGAGAAAACACCTTATCGTTGAAAGCACCTCCAGGAACCTACTGATCTTGGAAGACCACCTTACTAGATGCAGCTTAGATGGTTCATGAAATCTGCAGTTGATACTTTCGTGATATTACCTTGGGGAGACAGAATTCAGCTGTGCTAACTAGGAGTGGTCAGCTTCTTGTAGCTGTAGTTAGTTCCCTTCCATCAGCAGGCTAGCTGGGGGAAAGTGCATCCCAACTGTGGGCCAGCAGGGGAGGCCACTTGCACACTGTGGTGAGGGAGGGTAAGGTGAACTTTGATGACAGGCAATCTGGTTATCTAAGCACTTAATTTTAAAAGAAATGGAAAAGAGAATCTATTTATGGCAGCAAATGAGCCACATAATCACTAAGCACATGGGTTACAATTGGGCAATTTCTACTATGGTCTCCTATAATCCAGATTGAACTGCCTCTTCAGATTGTCAAAATAGCACATTCTTTCCTTTCAGTGAAAATATCATTAAATTAGAGGAATGGGCACTGTCTAAGCTCTAAAGTCTACTCTGATTAGTTTTCAGGGTTCTAAGCCTATTCAGCAGCCCAAAATGCCTATCAGTGAATAAAAAGGTACAAAAAGCCACTCTTAACAGAATTGCTATATTCCAGGAGCTTCTTTTTCAAATAGGCAAGCAGGTCAGTGTTGGAAAGTTACTGTGGACTTAAAGCAGGAGTGCTGGGCATCTGATCTTTTGGCATGCTTAATATCTAATGCTATCCCCCCAAAAAACAAACAAACAAAAAACCTATTTGCTGCACAATAGTACAGTTCATTTTGCCTTAATAGTCCCTTATTTTATTTATTTTCTATGTATAAAGTAATAAATCTTCAAACAAAATGGCAAAATATCCAAGAAATCTTTCCCCCAACCAATGTCATAAAGCTTTGCTCCCATGTTCTCTTCTAGGAGTTTACAGTTTCAAACCTTAGATTTAGGTCTTCAATCCATTTTTAGCTTATTTTTGTACATGGTATGAGATAAGGGTCTAATTTCTTTCTTCTGCATATACATGGGAACAATCAGTTTTCCCAAAACCATTGATTGAGAAAATTGTTCTTTTCCAATGGGAAAATGTGTTTTCAGCACCTTTGAAAAAAAATCAATTGACTGAAAATGTATGGGTTTGTTTCTGAGTTCTCTAGGCTGCTTCATTGGTCTGTGTCTGTTTTTATGCCAATAACATGCTGTTTTGGTTACTATAGCTTTGTAGTATATTTTGACATTAGATAATGTGATGTCACTAGCTTCATTGTTGTTGTTGTTGTTGTTGAAGATACATTGACTCTTTGGGGTATTTTGTGATTCTGTAAAAATTTTAGGATTGTTTTTCTATTTCTATGAAAAATATCATTGGAATTAGGGGTTTACTGAATCTATAGAGTGCTTTGGGTAGTAAGTCAATGATGAAACATGGAATTTCAGTGGGTAGGAAAAATGTTTCGGTATTATGTAAACCCAACAGAGTATTCAAGTTCAGCTCCATTGGCCTGAAAGTCCATGTTTATTTCTGTTTGATGATGTTTCTTAACCTGAGGATGCATAAGGATTCTCTGGGGACTCTGTCACAAATGCAGATTTCTCTCTCTTTGGGTTGTTATATATTTTTTTTAATTGCCAGAGGGCATGTTTGCTCACCAGAGAGAGAGAGAGAGAGAGAAAAAAGATCTACCAATGGAGTGTAGACCTGCCACAATCTCATCTCCTCCATTTCTCAGTCCTGTTTGGACTTGGGGTATACAGACACATGTGTCCTGTCAGTACTGGGATTCGAACCATGGTCAGTCAGGCTAAGGGACCAGCCCATAAATGCAGACTTCTGGGCCACCCTTGAAAATTCTGGGCCACCACACTTTTTTCTTTGTAATAAGCACACAGGGGATATCGAGTCAGAGGTCTGTGGACCATTCTATAAAGACTGCTACATTGCAGGGGTTTCAGGTAAAAGAGTTTGAGAGTGAAATTGCGAAGAAAAGAAGCTGGGTTCCCCAGATAATTGTTCACCTCTTCTGTTTTCATAACAATGGAATGATGATATTCCAAATATTTGGGTGTCTTAACCACATGACACAATTGAAAGTAAGCTACCATGAGGAATAACGCTGTACTGGCTGAGGCAATGAATGAAGTCAGTAACTTTATTACCCCCTTCCATCAGGTCTTGAACAAATTCAGATACGGGTATGACATTTCACTTTAAATCTGAAAACGACGTTAGCATGGCTTTACATCTGATGCATCTGTTTTCCAGAAGGCCAAAGAACTATGCTCTGTTGGGGGAGAAAAAGATAACCATCCTGAGAGAAAAAAATCACTTCTTAAATTTGTTCAGTGACTAAATCAAATCAAATACATCTTGCAAATGTGTAGAAAAAGGTTAAATTGTATAAATGAGACCATTTAGCGTGAGGTTTAAATGATATGAGAAAGCAGGGAAAATGAAAAGGCGCTCATTTCCAAGAGAGAAAATGAAAGGGTATGTACTACTCTGACAGTCAAGACTTTTTTATTTTTTGTAGAGGTTTTTGCTATAGGGCGCGTTAGCTCCCCAGAAAGACAGAGAGTAACAGAGAGACAGAAAGTGAGAAATCATCCCCCCCTTCCCCATGGGGGATGGCCACGCTGCAATCCCTTCTCCTCCATTCTCCTCTCAGGATCTTGGGCATGCACACACACATGTCTGGTGTGAATTTAAGCCACTGGGTCCAGGACTTGAACCGTGGTCAATTACATGGAAGTCCAGCGACATAGCCATTATGCCAACTGCTGGTCTCGAGATTTTTTTTTAATTGCCAGAGGGTACATGCACTCACCAGAGAGCGAGAAGAAGAAAGGGAGGGAGAGAAAGAGAGAGAGAGAGAGCAAAACACACAATGGAGCATGGTCATGCCTATCCCTTCTCCATTTTACCATCCTGTCAGATTTGGGGCATGTGTGCACATATACTCAGCATGCTTTTCAAGTCAGAGGAACCGGGATGTGAAATACAGTCAACCAGGTGGGATCTGGCTCCCTTAAACACTAGGCTACAAGGCTAACCCATGATAGTCAATTTTTTTAGAGCTTTATCAACCCTTTATTTATTCTCCAGTGAACTCACAATGTTGAACTTGTCTGAAAACCATAAGAGAATAACTTGAAGAAATACGTTATTCTCTGACTATCTAGAAATACGTATTTCTCTGAAATCTGACTTCGTAAAATTATTCATGCTATTTTCCTAATGATATGTACAGTCTTACCTTTATTGTCAATTTTAGTATTTCATCATCTCACCAGGGCTCTGCTATCTTTTGAATAATTTACTTGGTACACTTCTAACTATTTATAAACACAAAGATCATAATATCATTGGTTAAACACTTACTCCAGGTCATGTATAATATTTCTAATAATCAAACTAACCCTATGAGGCAGGTATTATTAATCAGTTATAAGTCCCTTCTCTCCCTCTAACTGGCCACTTCTTGGACTTCTCTCTCTTTCTCTTTTTCTACTTTAATTTTTTCCCCATAGGGCATGTGCACTTAGTAGAAAGAGAGAGAGAGAATTGAAAAGAAAGTCAAGTATCACTCCCCACCCCCCTCGTAGAGGGGATGGCCATGCTGCAATTCCTTCTCCTCCATTCTCCTCCTGGGATTTTGGGTGCATACACACACACACACATCTGGAGTGACTTGCAAGCTGCCAGATCTGGGACTTGAACCACATTTGGCCATGTGGGAGTCCAGTGTCTTAACCCCTTGCTACCTGCTGGCTCCAGGCCTCTTTCTTAGCACAGTCTACTCTCAACTCCCTTCTCCCAGCCACCATTAGAGGGCTATCAATATTTGAAGGCTATCTCTAAACCTACAAACCTTAAACTTTAAAAGGTTGGCAGCTCTAAAATGCTGACCCTTGTACTCTTCTTTATCTCTCACAAACATATCATCTTTCTTAAAATATTTTGCACTAATCATTATTTGCTGTAATGGATGCCTTTCAAAGTCTAGGAATTGCTGAAGAAAGAAAAAATATTAAAAGATCAGTTAGCCAATTACCATTGACATGTGTTGCTTTGTTTTTTGAGTTTTTTTCAGAGAGATTTTTTTCTATAGGTCATGTACACTTGACAGAGACAGAAAGCAAGAAATCACCCCTCAAGGGGATAGCCATACCACAGTCCCTTCTTCATTCTCCACTCAGGATTTTGGGCACACATGCACATGTGCCTGGTGTGAGTTTCAAGTCTCCAGGTCCAGGACTCGAACCATGCTTACCCATGTGGGAGTCCAGTGATGTAACCATTATTCCATCTACTCATCCTGCCATGCATTCCTTTACAATTTGGGGTGAATTCTTTATAATTTGAGGTGAATTCTTTATCATTCGAGACCAAGAGATAGTAGATACTTTTATTATTTATTATTAAATTCAAAGTTATTACTGAAACTTAACTTGGAATTATACAAGATGGCATAATTCACCTCAACATTCACTGAATAGGGTCATAACCCTGAGATTGGGGGAAAATGATTGGAAAGGAAAATGCTTACGTAAGCAGAGACACTAATTAGTCTGCAGCTAATTGCTTCATGTTGTTTCTCCCTGCCGACCCTCTTTTTAAAAATCCAGTGGCTGTGAGACCAGCAGATGGTGTAATGGTTACATTGCTGGACTCTCACATAGTCAACAGTGGTTCGAGTCCCAGGCCCAGTGGCTTAAAACTCACGCCAGGCACATGTGCATGTATGCCCAAGATCCTGAGAGGAGAACAAAACAGAAGGGATTGGGGTGGGTGTGGTCATTTCCCCTGAGGGGTGATTTCTCACATTCTGTCTCTCTGGCGAGTACGCACACCCTATAGCAAAAAATCTCTCTAAAAAGGATAAAAAGAAAAAAACTAATCCAGTGGCTGGGGCCAGCAGGTGGTGTGGTGGTTAAGGTGCTGGACTCCCACATGGCTGACTGCAGTTCAAGTCCGACTGGGAGGCTTATTTTCTCTCTCTCCCTTTCTCTCTCTAGTAAACACACGTGCCTTATAGCAATTAAGTAATAATAATAATTAATAAAATTAAAAAAATAATTCTTTAAAAATAAAAAAGTAAAATTAAAAATTAAAATCCAGTGGCCAGGGCCAGGGCTATCAGTGGCACAGAGATTAAGGTGGCTGAATCCTGGACTTGATGGTTTGAAAAAAACACACCAGGCACTTGTGCATGTGTGCCCAAAATACAGAGAGGAGAATGGAGGAGAAGGGATTAGGGTATGGCATCTTCTCCTGGGGAGTGATTTCTCATTTTTTCTTTCTTGCTCTCTCTTTCTCTCTCTACATCTATCCACTCTGCTTTCTCTGTCTCTCCCCAGAAAGTGCATGAACCTTAAACCAAACTGAAAAGAAGAAAAATCCTGCGGCCAGATTGACACAGCTTCTGAAAGTCTTTACGCAATAAAGGTGATCACTGTGATGGAAGGTCAGTGGCAGTCCTAGCTGCAAGTCCCCTTGGTAGACTTACCTTTGAAGCACTTGGGGATTTCGATGGTGCCATCTACGCACACAGCATCCTCCGTATAACTACACTTCTTTTCTTTATTTTTACAGAAGAAAGAAACTTTGTCACCATGCTTCATCCCATTCTTAAACTGCTCCTGGAGCTTTACTCTCTCTCCCTGGTATAACACAGTGGCTTTTTTAACAGATAATCTGCAAGATGCTGAAAGAGAGAATATTAGTTGACAATACATAAGAGTGTGGTCAATTTTTCTTCAAGAGAATATAGGCTTTGACCCCGTATTCAAGTATGCCTGAGACAAATTGGTCAAGACAAGAAGTCCAAGAATGCTGGCAGTGAGTAATGTTGGTTCAACTGCTAACAGCAGTTCCCTATGAATTGAACCATTACTCATGGCTTCTAAGGTGGCCTTTTCTTAACCTACAACAGTCACATAAGAAAGTCAGAGCAGAGGCGCCCAGATTCTTGTCTTCAGTGAAAAAGAACTTGCGATTTCATGTTAGCCTACATTGCCCACTCAGTTCAATTTATTGAGCCCTGTACCCATCTGCCATCGTTGTGAGTGTTGGCTGATAATAGTTCTCAAATGTTTCTGTCTCTCAAAAATTGCCTTCAGATGTAGGGGAGCCACCTCTTCTAGGGTTAAACCACCTCCACACTCACCCCCTGGTTGCAGCCCAAAGCCAACGACTGACTAATAGGGGATATAAAAAGCAGGTTCCTGGGGCTGGCCAGTGGTGCCATGGGTAAAGGCACTGGACTCCTGTATGGCTGACCACGGTCTGAGGCCCAGACCTCATGTTTGCTTTCTCTCTCACTTTCTCTGTCTTTTTTGGTCAATTAAAATAATGATGATGAATAAGATTAATTAAAATAATTCTAAAAAAAGGCAGTCTCCTTCTCTCTTGGTGCTAACTCTGGGGTGGGATTTATACCCCAGAACTCCTAGTTGAATCAAGCTGAAGCTTAACTAGCTGAGACCACATCCTTGTTTCAGGCACAGTCTCTGCATCGGCAGCAAAGCATCACCTAAGAACTTGGTAGGAATACAAATACCAGGATCTACTGAATCAGGAACTGAGGATGGAACCCAGAAGTCCATCTTTAAATGATCTCTCCAGGTGATTCTGATGCACAGTGACATCTGAGAATCCATGTTCTATACTATCCCACCTCCCTCTCTCTCTCCTTCTCTTGAGACTCACTTAATAAATTAGCTGTACTTGAATCCTTGTGTCAGGCTTTGCTTCTAGGGGACTCGAACCTAAGATGTTAGTCATTCATCATGTGCCTACTCTTCCAAATTTGCTCTTCCTGCTTTAACTGTCGAATCCACAACAACTGCAGCAGAGATAATAGTGTTAGGTTGTTGTTCTTGCATAGGCATGACACTGGCTGGATCAAGGGTAGACACCTAACTCAAAGGGGACCAATGTGTCTGGGAAAAGATGTCAGCTGCAATGAATCCTTTAGCACAGAGGTCCTGGTGTACCTTCATGTCATGTTCAGGATGAGTAACCAGACAGATGCAGAGATGGGAGAGGACACTGAGATATGGAATGAGCAGCAATAGATTTTCACTTTCAGTCCAACCTTCAAGAGTACCAGATGTATCTAATTTTCTCAACTTCACTCCTTGAACATTTATTCAGTAAGACATATCAGTAATAAATAGTAGCACTGTCCATAGTATTGCTTGTTATGTTTTTATAATAAGCCCGTTTTCTCCCAGTAGCTGGAACATGTCCTTGATTTTACAAGGGA